AGTTGAACTGGGCTTATCTCATCTCTATACTGAGGAAGATGGGATTTGGAGATAAATGGATAAGGTGGAGGATCAAATTCAGCATTTCAACAGTCTAGTACTCGGTGCTTGTCAACAGAGAACCAGCAGGCTTCTTCTCACCCCAGAAAGGGATTAGACAAGGAGATCCACTCTCCCCATTCTTGTTCATTCTAGCCATGGAGGGGCTAAGCAAGATGTTGGAGAAGGCCAGAGAATTACAGTGGATTCAGGGATTCAGAATAGGCTCAGATATTGGGAGCTCAATCACTATCTCTCACCTGTTGTATGCTGATGACACTTTGATTTTCTGTGAGGCCGAGAAATCTCAAGTTATGTACCTGAATCTAACACTTCTCCTCTTCGAAGCTCTATTAGGGTTACATGTCAATGTATTGAAGAGTACAATTTATCTTGTCAATCATGTGCCCAACATAGAGGAGCTCTCAGGTATCATGGGCTGCAGTATTGGGTCACTACCTACCACATACTTGGGTCTTCCATTGGAGCCAAATTCAAAAATTGTGAGGTATGGAATGGTGTTATTGAAAAATTCGAGAGGAAATTAACTTCTTGGCAACTTCAATATCTTTCTATGGGGGGCAGATTAACTCTCATCAATAGTGTACTAGATAGCATTCCAACACACTACATGTCACTGTTTTCTATTCCCAAGAAGGTGCTAAAGTAATTGGACAAAATCAGGAGAGACTTTCTCTGGGAGGGCAATAGCAACACTCACAAGTACCACCTAATAAAGTGGGGCAAAGTCACACAACCAAAACTAAATGGAGGTCTGGGAGTCAGAGATCTAGTTGTCCACAACAAATGTCTGCTAATGAAATGGCTTTGAGGTATGGAACAGGAGAGTCAAGCCTTTGAAAGAAGGTGATCAATGCCAAGCATGGGAAAAGAGACAACTGGAGTTCTAATAGTTCTAATGCACCATATGGAGTGGGTCCTTGGAAGTACATTAGTAAACTGGGGGATGAATTCTTTCAAAATATCTCTTTCAAACCAGGTAATGGGGCTCACATCAGATTCTGGAAAGACAAATGGCTAAACTATACAGCTCTCATGGATGAGTATCCTAGCTTATACAAGATTGCTCTAGACAAAAATTCCTCCATAGCACATAACAGAAATGGCAGTAATTGGGATGTTCATCTTAGAAGGACAGTGCAGGACTGGGAAGTGGATAGCCTGATGGATATGCTAGCAAAAGTGGAAAGGTTCAATATGGATGTGAACCAACCCGACACCATATGTTGGGGGAGAATGGGCACCTTCACAGTGAAAGAATGTTACAGACAATTTGGTACTCAGAATCAAGTGTTAGATGCATGGCCCTGGAAGTTAATATGGAAGACTAAGCTACCTATTAAAGTCATTTGTCATAACTGGATTGCGCTCAATGAGGCATGTTTAACACAAAACAACCTAAACAGAAGAGGTTTTCAGTTGGTCAACAGATGCTACATCTGTATGGAAAATGAGGAAACTGTCAACCACCTATTTTTGCACTGCCCAGTGGCCACCGACCTCTGGAACATGTTCTACTGTCTTTCTGGTTTAAAGTGGGTCATGCCACAGAATTTGAGAGATACACACATGAGCTGGAGTTTATGGAGAGTTGATAAGACCATAAAAAAGATCTGGTTGATGATCTATGCTGCTATTTTTTGTTGTTTATGGAATGAGAGGAATTGCAGATGTTTTGATGGAATCTCAACTCCAAATCACGTTCTCAAAGCTAAATGCTTACTCAATCTTTTTTGCTGGACTAAGTTAGCTACTGTAATCAGTACTGACCAATTAATGGATTTTGTTAGCTCCTTTGTCTTAGAATGACAAGATGTAGAGGGACTAACATGTAGTACTACATCCGTTTCAGTTTATGTGAACCTATTTCCTTTTTGGTCCGTTCCAAAAAGAATGACCTCTTTCTAAATTTGGAAACAATTTTGCTTAAACTTACAATTTTATCCTTAATGAGAAGCTTTTATAACCACACAAATACTCTGAGCCCCTTTTTGAATTGTTTAGGACCACAAATTCCAAAAATCTTTATTTTTTCTTAAACTCCGTGCCCAGTCAAACAGGTTCATATAAATTGAAACGGAAACGGAGGGAGTAGTATTTATGCATTCCAATTTCCTTGTAACGTTGCATCTCCTAGATGCCTTTTGTTAATGAAACAACTTACTTCATCAAAAAAAAAAGGCAATAGCAGATAAATTATAAACATTCAAATTTTTACCAAGTTTGCACTCAATAGCACGGTGTACCTACTATCCTTTTAATTCTGGAAAAAGTGTGCAATAGTGACTCTTTTTTTTTATCAATGTGGAGTTCGGGCCAGATTGCTGGCTCTTCCAATATTTTATCGGGCACCTGCAATCTCCCGCTAGCGCAGATACCGAGTAACTCTGCCCACCATAGCTTAAGCAAATGAGAAGAAATCATATACTCCCTCTGTCCCAATTTATGTGTCATATTTGTTTTTTAATCTGTCCAAAAAGAATATCATACTTCCTTCTTCAAGAACAATTTAACTTTAAACATGATGTACAACCACACAGACATCTATGGCTTATTTAGATTACAAGTTTCAAAAGTTTTATTTCTTTCTTAAACTTCGTGTCAAGTCAAACAAGACACATAAATTGGAACGGAAGAAGTAGTATTTTTTGCATCCGCCGGGATCAAATCCTGAGACTTTTTGGTTCTCCTCTTACTTCATTATAGACCACTAGGCCACACAAATTATGAAAAAATAATATTTATACTAAGTCCGCGTGCATTCTCACAGAGGAATAATGATGGGTGCAGAGGTACTCGGAACTCAAAGACTTTATGCAATTTCCATTACGGTAAAGGGGGAAAACGAGAACATAACAGAACTTAAAGAGGAAGAGAGAACTTACTTCCGTTCTGACCAGTAATGAAATTAACGGAGTCACCGAAATCGATCTCGAGGTTACTATGGCACATGAAGTTTTCCAGCCGGATTTTTGAAATAATACCCGCTTCTAGACGCTTCGGCATCCCTGTCGCCGGAACCCTATCCTCCATTTTTCTTGAGAGTTACACGCGCCGATTCTACCGAAGAGTGAAGATTGATATCGTAATTGAGTTGACGGCACTGAAGCACAATTCTACAGTCTCACTTCTCTCTCTCTCTCTCTCTCTCTCTTCGCGCTTCGTATGGGAAAGGCCTAGGGAACAAATGGCGGGAAGGGCATCGTTTATAGTATGTAACTAGTGTGTATGACCTCCGTAACAAATACAATTGAGCCTTAAATACAATTATTTATCCCAAAATTGAGAAATATGGACCTTACGCCTACTTTTGGGGTAGAGAGGCTGTTTCCAAATGACCTTTGGCATACTTCCTTCGAAGAACTCCACGCCTTATTCTTGGGATGACTCGAACTCACAACCTCTTAGTTGGAAGTGAAGAGTGCAACCCACCTTGACTTTATAAAAATTGGATATCGTGATTGGATAACAATTAAACTTATAATATAGTTCTAAAGACACGTGATTTCACCTAATACCAATTGATAAATGTGAGGATGCGTAATAGAAATTAACGATAAAGTAAAGTAAACCAGTGTTAAAATGAAACTCGGCCATTGAGTTTGGACACCCTTGAACTGGTTGATGCAAGAACTATGAAAGTATAACAAGCTGAATAACAATGGTGAGAACAATAAAGAGAATTATATTGCTTTTTGTGTATGATGAAACGTGTCCTGCAAATGATTAGAACTCTCTTTATATAGTAGAGGAGTTCCACTTATGATACAATTCTAATTATAGAAAGAAACCCCATGATTAGCTAATTAATCGTTTCTAATTTGATCAGTTTCGAGATTTACGCCATGATCCTCGACCAGTCACCGAGATTTACGCCATGATCCTCGGTCAGCCACGGATATCTTGCCTTTCTGTTATTATGCTATTTTCGATCTTGCTCGATGTCTGTCTCATTTGGCTTCGATCGCTACTAGCCTTGATCTCGACACGTACCTCGATTACGAGACCGTCCTTCGATGCAAACTCCTAGTCTCGGTCAAACAGTAAAATCGTGTGTACCTAGTTTTAACCGTATATAGATAGTCCCCTCGTTTTTTTGGAGTATAATGACAAGAAACGAATTGAGCCTTCGATTTTCTACCTCGATCCGTCATGACGTCATCCTTGTGACGTAAGTGACTGAAACGTCCCGTCTGTACAGTTACCAAGGCATTAAATGTGCGTCAGTCGATGGTCGGCCACCGCCAATATTGAATCGTCGTTGTGAAATTTATAAATAGTCCCTCTCTCCACCATTTCGAACTTTTACTTTCAGATTTCTAATCTCCAAAGCTTTGTATACCTTCTAACTTCTTCATCTACAAATCTACGATTTTCACTGCTACCATCTTCTCAAAACACCAAATCTTATCATCTCCATCTATTTTTAACTTCAAATCCATACAAAAATGACAAAAGCATCAAAAATTGTTTCTCAAAAGGAAAACGCTTCTTCATCGCAGCCGGTCGGCGATAAAACACCGGTGGAGCCACAACCTAAAGAGTGTGTTCCCGGGGGGTATGTTTTCACTTCTAACTTCAAGACTGATAAAGCCTCGTCGATTCCTGGTCGATGTGATCCAGTGTCGAGGTATATATGCTCGATAATCGAAGGATACCTTAAGCAGGTAAAGAAAGACTGCAACTGGAAGGGCAAAGAAGTGGTGATCCCGACCCCGGAAGAAGACATTACCACCCATGTGGAAGGGTTTTTAAGTGTTTACACTTACCCTTCCCGCTGGGCCCCCTCGACCCTGTCGTCATTGATTTTTGTCGTCAGTATTAAATAACCCTAGGCCAAATCCATCCTTCTTTTTGGCGAATTGTCATTTTGCTTCGATTCTTCGTGAGCAACGTCGAGGGGATGTCTTTCACCCTCAACCACCTCATTAGGTTATACAGCACCCGCCTCTATCGAGGCGGGTTAATAAAACTCCAAAGTCAGGCCACCAAAGTGTNTCGATCACCTTATCAGATTGTATAGCCCCCGCCTCTATCGAGGCGGGTTAATAAAACTCCAAAGTCAGGCCACCAAAGTGTTGTTCTCGAGCATAGACGAGGATAAGAACCGAGGCTGGATGGGCCGGTTCGTTCGAGTGAGAACTTCCGACCTAATCCCGGCCGAGAAGATGCCATTTCCTAAGAAATGGAACATGAAGCGTAAGTACAATCCCACTTTTAGTTCTTATTTATTGTTTTGCCCATTTACTTCTTCTCATAGATATCTCATTCCATGATGTAGCAGTCGTTTGGATGCCCGGTGCAATTCCTAACCTCAAAAGCTGGGTTCGGGACCTGGCCTCGACCTATTCGTATGACGAGCGCTCATGGTGCGATTTATCAAAGGGCCAATGGGAGGCCAAAACTCATGGTAAGCCCATTTTCCATGTATTTGATGGTTTTGTTAAGGCATTTCTCACTTAATTTCTTTTGATATAGACCTTGGCAAAGATGCTGTTATGGGGGGCCTATCTGGTGAGGAAGAGACTTCGATCCCGGCACCGAAACCGGCGAAAGACAAAAAGAGGAAAAAGACCTCACCCTCTGAGGATCCAGAACCTAAGAAGAAGAAGGCTCGTAAGCCGAGGAAGAACATCATCCTCCTAACCGAAGAGTCTGTTCGGCGTCTAAGGGAGAAGGACGAAGAAGAGGAAGAAGACGACTCTGGGCTAGCGGCCCGAGCGAGAATGAGCACCGAGGCCCCAAAGTCCACTGAATCAGTGAAGGTTGCAGAGACTCCATCTCGAGATGAGGGTGTCTCGGGAAAAGACTTGGGCGAAGTCCCCGAGCCATTGAGGATCGAAGATGCTTCCCACCACATTGAGCCAACTGTGGGTACGGCTGTCGAGGCCCTTCGAGATGAGGAGAACGCCCCAAGTGAACCACTTGGGGCAATAGAAATTGGAGGCTCCCCGCTAATCCCCTCATTTTCTGAGGAGATGATTCAAGAGGCTCGGGCCTTGAAGACCTTCTCCATCGAAGGAGCCCATGGAATGGAGGATCCCTTCCGTGATTACTTTACTAGGGTCGAAGATACTATCGGCCTGAGTGATTTGGAAGTCTAGAGGAAGGACTCGGGCGAGTCATCGAGCCTTTTCAATGAAGCGCAGCAAGCTCTGAATCGGGTAAGCCTTAGCTCCCCTTGTTGGTATTATCTTTGTGTTCATTTTTCTCGTTTTATCTAACTTCTTTTCTTTTTTCTACGTAGGTCTCAACACTTCACCGAGAAGCATTTTCTCTGTCTCGAGACGAACTGAATCGGTACGAGGCCGACATTCAAAGGCTTACAGAAGAGAGGAATGCCCTCAATCTTCTCGGTAATCAAAAAGAAGAACAGATCAAGGACCTCCGAGCCGAATTGGCAACGGCTCACAAAGATCAAACCGACCTGATCAAGCAGGTAATGAAAATTTTAAAAGCTCATGGGCTCGATTCGAGAATGGTGGCTAACATTTCGATCTCACAGTTACAGCAGAAGATCGAGAGGGTCGAGCAGTTCCACGAGGAGGTAGATACGATAAAAATGGAGTCTTTGGGGTGGAAAGAAGGTATGGACCGTTTTGCTGCAGAAAAAAAAGACAGCTCGAGCCCAATTATCATTAGCCGAAAGTCAGCTTCAAGGTATGAAGGATAAGAGCTTGACTCAAGCAAGGAAAATAGAGGAACTCGAGACTCAGTTGGCTTCTGAACTTGCCAAGGCTAAATTTGAAGCCGAAAAGGCAAAGGCCGAGGCAGATGCGATCGTAGTCGTCTACTAAGCCGATGTTGAAGCCGCTCAAATCCAAGCGAGAGAGGCAGTCGAGACCGCCCAAACTCAAGTATATTGGATTGCCAAACTTGCCAGATGCCAATCTCGGAGGGAAACCCCCGAGGAAATCCACGCTCGAGGTTTCGATCTTACCAACGAGATAGTAAAGGCTAGAAAGCATGAAGCCGAAGATGGGGCGTTGGCCACTTCCGATGATGATGATGATGATGGCAGCAAGAGCAGGTCCGAGAATGGGGAGGACCTCGATGGAGAAGAAGTTGCCCCCGGAGAAGATCAAGAACCTTATGATTTTTCACTTTTGGTCTTTTGTATAGGATCCTGATCGGACCTTGTGAATATTCGCATATATATAAAGATATTTTTCCTTTCTGACTTGTTTTTATTTCATTTATGCCTTGTGAATTTTTTTTATTTTATTTATGCCTTATGAAAATTTTGTTCGTAAATTCGAGGCTTAGGCAATTTGAGGCTAGTAGCGATCGAAGCCGAGCTAGTGTAGTTTTTATAATCGAGTGAGTACTTGCTCGAACTCGGAGTAGGGTGACCCTTAGATTTTTAATTGGGTGAGGATGATTTATCAAAAATAAACTGGCCCTTTAGGCTCTTGAATTAGGCCGATACGCCCATAGCAAAAAGAATGGCTTTCCCCCCTTTTTCGGCTTGAAAATTTTATTGTTTAATCATATAAATTCTGTTGTGCCTTAGCACGAAATAAAGGATTTGCTCGAGAGTTCGAACGGCTTTGTACCCATTAGGGTTTTCAAGGGTCGATATTATCGAGACCCTTTGTTTCGTAATGCCTTAGCATAAAATAAAGAATTTATTCTATAGTTCGAACGACTTTGTACCCATTAGGGTTTTCGAGGGTCGATATTATCGAGACTTTTAGAAATTTAGCCGAGGGTAGCCTTTTTAACCGGTTTGTAAAAATATTAGAAGGTTTGTTTAATAACGAAAATCGGACGTCTCTGAACCATGTTAATTTGGTCGTAGCCTTTAACTTGTGGTGGTCGTGGCCTATAAAATCGAGGATTACATTTTTAAGGTCTTACGATTTCGAGATTTAGTAATTCGATCCTCTCAATTTTTTGGACTACAGTCCCCGAGTATCGGGTAAATTGTTTGAACTTCAGTTATGCTCTCCCATTAAGCCGGTTTCCACAATAGATCATAAATATGAAATTGTAAAGTATAAGCTTTTTTAAAGCATGGAACATCTAGTAAGGGAAAATACTTCTTTCAATAGATTATACATGTGTACATGTTTTGCCATTAGGGTTCGAGTAATCTACATGGACATGGTTTATTTGACCGTTTGGTCCTCTACAAAATTTTTACCTATCGAGACCCTGTCGACACGAAGTATTTTCCTTGTAACTATCCGAAGGTGATGCCCCCCAGTATTCGAGGTTGATTGTAAAGG